TTACACTGAGTGTCAGAAAGGCACAATTTCCTCTTTGGGAACTTTTCCTAAAGTCCTTTCACACCTAAGGCTTCTCCCTGTGGCTGCACATACTGTCATGGTGCCCAGTTTCTTACATCTAACTGGTAAGGACAGCCTGCCTCAATGGCACTGAAGATCTCACACGTTCCAATAGCTGCAACAGCATTACTTGAGTGTGACCCATGACTGACTGGAATTTGAATCCTCTTTATCAATGAAACTAAATGGCACGCTGGCCATCTTGACCTTCTCAAGAGAATATACTTCTTTTTTTTTTTTTTTTTTCACAAATTTTATTTCATTTTCTCAGAAAACATCAAAAACACTCTTTCTATATGTTTTTGCATTCATAAGTGCTGTTTCAGGCAGAAAGGCTGCAACATTCTTTCATTTTCCTCTTCAGACATAGAGGAAACTGTGGAAAGTAATATATGGAGAGGTTAAGTGACTGGTTGGAGTCATTAACTGTTGAGAGATGATGCAGTTATCCAAAATTTCAAATCTAACTCTGTATTTTAATTTTTCTTCTATTTCTTTGCCTAGAAGATATAGATATAGAGCATCTGCAAGACGCTTCATTTTAATAAAGTCCTTGCAACAGCCCAAAAATAGCAGCGATTCCTGTCTCTTCATCCAGTAACACTTCTACTTACTGAATATATCTTCTCCATTCCTAGAAATATTCTTTTCAGCATATGATTCCTTTTTTGAAAATGGTACAGAATGTACCAAGCTAAGTCATGTTCTCATATAACTCTTTTTGATTTTTTTAATTCAACTTAATGCACAATTGTTAATGCTTGCTAGTATTTCATAATCTTTTGAAGACTTCAGGCTGACAAAAAATGAAGTTACAATAACATTACATCCCTCAAAAAAACCCATGCAAAATAAAATGTTGTTTAGAAGGGTGTTTTTTTTTTTTTCCTGGATGAAAAAAATAGCACATTTTTAAGACCTCTTCAATCAATAATTAATATCATGCATTTTAGAACATACCTCCTCAGCCCAAAAAAGCTTCAAAGGATGAAGCAACAGAAATTTCACGTTCAGTCAGCACATGATAACTACACATAAAAATCAAAGAAAATGCACAGACTTCTATCACATAGCTCTGCTATATATTTTTCAAGAAAAGACCATTCTAGGCAGGTAATACAGAGAAATTTTCCCAACAAATTTCAGAATCTTCTGCTTTCCCAGACCACTCTTTTTTGTGCTCATAACTAGTATTTAGATCTTTGCTTCTTGACCTGCACAAATGCAGTATGAAGCATCTGATTCCATTTCATCCTGCCATACTCCAATGCTTTCACTGAACCCTATAGGAATATTACCATGCTGGTTTTCATGTGCTAAAAATAAAACAAACACATGTCAACCCAAGGACGAAGTTGGAAGGAAACATACTTTAATGTAACTAAAGAAGAATATATTTAGCATTTTGCTACTAAGCAAGGATGAAAATAAACTTGTCAACACATAGCTGCATCTAACTGTGAAGCCCACACCCCACTCAGTTCTTCCTGCAGCATTTATAATAGACGAAAGGTGGATTTCATTTTTCTTTCTTCTTAAAAGCAACTGTTAATGCTGCTGAACCAGGAAGAGGCTTCTGAATTGCAGCGTGAAGCACTACATCTGGCATCCATTTTTCTATCAATTAACACTACTGCAACCATCCAAAGTGCATTTGAGAAGAGATGTGTGTTAGGATTCTTTTTGGAATCCTTCCAAAACAAAGCACAGGCATAAATGAGAATTGCCATGCCACTAAACCCACAGAAAAATAAGTGTCCTAAATAAGAAAGGAGTTTTCTTTCGTATTTCTTTCAATATTATTGTTCATTTGGGCTCACCATAAAACAGTACTATTTCTGTGTTCCCAGAGATGAATGCTCATCAAAAAAGTGTGACATATTCTTAAATATTACCTCTGAAGTAAAGAACGTAAGTAAGGCATACCTATGTTTTTAATGGTTTAAGCTATTTGAAATTACACCTTCAGAATGTGAAAAGTTACAGCTATAAATATGCATCTTGGGGATCCTGCATCCAGCTTAAAACTGAGACGGAATGAAAGTGACACGATGCCTGCTTTATTTAAAACACAAAACCAAAAAGTTGTTCTATTATGCCTCAGCTTGTAAGGAATTTAAGGCAAGAGCAAAAGCATCTATGAATCAGTATAAATTAATGTGGTAGTTGGCATACTGCTTTTCAATACGTGCATGAACAAAAGGCAATTGAGACTCTTTTGCAAGCAATAACTTAGCGAAAAGCAAAGACTTTAGTCCCTTCAGAATCTGTGTGTTCCTGCATACACCACCAGAGAGATAAATATTTGGTAGAAGGCAGCACAGATCCTCCTGGTCTGAAAGAACTTTCAGCTCTAAGAAGGGTAACTACTGTGGAACAGGAAAATTTACTCAAAGATCCAACCATTACAGAGGTTGACCACTTCAGTATGTCAGTGTTTTTCTCCCACATCCACTCTCAGTTACAGATTTCTCTTATCCACCACTGTAGTCAAGATCAAAGATTCAGTTCCAGTTTTCAAATACATTAATATTTTAAATATTAATGCTAAAAAGGTTCAAATAATCTTTAAAGGGAAGTCATGATGCCTGCAGAAGGAATAGTTGTGAAGTTCCCCATCCCGGCAGGGTTTTAGGTGAGCATTAATGGAGCTGTAAAGAGCTTCCTCCAGCTAAATAAGGTGCAGTTTAAATCATGCTGCTGGAAGTCAAACAGTCCCAATTGACTTCCTTGGTATGTAGAAAATAAAAGGGAAGATCAAGCTAGATATATTGAAGCTCACGGGAAAATAAAATAAAAAAAAAAAAGGAAAAAAAAAAAAGATCTAATATCCTCTGAAGATACAATGTAATACCTACCTATAAACAGTCAAAGTTAAGTAAATCCATTGCATCTTTCCAAATACAAGGAACTGCCACCAGCTGCATTTTTCTTCAGGGACTGACACAAAACCTATCAATATAATTCAGTGTCTTTATGGATTTAATCTTTTTTTCACTAATAATGTGTTCTTAATTTATAGTAATACATACATCTGAAAGTATCTATTAATACAAATTATTACACAGGGGGAAAAAAGAAATACATTGGACATTAGAAAATATGGAAATATAAGAAATTAGTCATTTGCCATATGTATCTTATAGACATTTTTAAACAGATAATAAATATCCACAGATGAAGATTTAAATCAAGACAATGGAGATTTCAGTCTTTTGATGCTGACAGTTCAAAGCAGGGTCCTTCCACAGACACATTAGTCTGCCATGTTTCATCTTCATAAAGATATTTATGGCTTTCATGGTAGATATGGAGAATTACAAAGAACTTAGGAAAAAATCCTGGTTACACAAAAGACTTCAGGATGATTTAGCACCTAGCTGCTCATTAACCACTCCATTTCCCAGTTCTTCAAGCTTGATCTGTGCTGCCAGTGTGACACCATTCACTTTGAAAGAGTGAGAACAAATCATCACTTCGTCACAAACCTGAGCCTCAGATGACGGAGATGCTTCTGGGCTCACTGGAATGACGGCCACGTAAGTGCTGACAGCCCCATCTCCCGGCCTCCTTAGCATTCCCAAAGTGATGGGCAAATCTCTATGGAAGCGTGTATCCCAATTATCAGAATTATAGAATGGGGGTGCTTTTCTAAAAAAGAATTCCCATCTCCTACGTGATGTAATTTTCTGAAATATTGTAACAGTTGCCTTCAGAGAATCTGGCTTCAAATTCAGTTCCCTATGCTGGCGCAGAGAGTGAGTTTACTCGTCCTCTAGGAAAAGCCCCCTGGCACTCTTACTGTCTCTACCTGAATTTTGTTTAAGGAACCACTGATATATCTAATCCTATCATCTCCTATTTCTATGAAAAAAAGACACCTTAGTACTTAAACCAATGGCAAAGCTTTCTACTGAAGCCAAGGGACTCAGACATAACTTCACAGAATGCAAGGGACAACCAATGCTCACACAGAACAGCACTGTTCATCTTCCAGCTGTAAAAAAAAAAAAAATGTGATTTCTCTGAGTATTATTAAGAACAGCAACAACATCCAGGTACGTAAATCAGCTAAGGTTTTGAGGCAGAAAATAATACTGTATCAGGGTTTTCTTGCTCGGCTGGTTTGGGTTTTTAATAGTGAAACAATATGTTCTACTTTCAGTACTCACAATGCAAAACATCATAAGCCACAACTATGGTCAGAGCAGAGGCCTCTTAATGGTTTCACAGAGTTCAGCAACACCCCCATCTCTTTGCAGAGCAATCACCAAGCACGCTCCTCTGTGCATGCATTTACACCTCATTTCAACAGCAGAAACTGACAGAAATCCGACAGACAATGGCTTTCGGCTAAAAGCAAAAGCACGAGAGGACATTTGAAGTTCATCTCCCGAGATTTAACGCGGTCTACATTTTAGGCTCTGCTGGATAACACCGTCAGCAGATTTTGGCACCGTTTTAACCTTCTCTGGCTCCGAAGCGGCCCAGCCACACACCCGAGATAAATGACGCTGTACGCGAACTCCGAGCGAGAAAACTGAACGCCTGTAAGTGGGAAGTGCCTGCTCGCTCCCTGCGCTCCTGGTGCCCCGCCGGGACACGGAGATGCCGGGCAGCACGGCCGGGTCGGCCCAGCCCGGGGCACCCTGCGCCGAGCGGGCTCCCTGCGGCCGCGCACCGAGAAGCCGGAGCTCCTCTTCCTGCCCCGCAGACCCTCGAGCCGCCCCCACCACCCCCCTCCTTCTCTTCCTCCTCCTCCTCCTCCCTCGCAGGCGGTGGTGCTGAATCACGGCAGGCAGCCGCTCCGCTTCCTTTCCCCGGGGACGGCGGCGCGGACCGCGAGCAGCGGGGGCGAGGGCAGAAGGGGGGCGGGGGGTCAACGGCCGCCGCTGCCGGGAGGAGACGCAAGCCACCATCCCGCGCTGCCCCACCGTTACCTGTCGGGCAGGGGCACGGCGTCCGGCGGTCCCGCGGGTGCGGTGCGGAGCGAGCGGCGCCTTACGGGCTGTGCAGCGGAGCCCTCCCGGGACGCAGCATCCACCCCGGCACCCGGAGAGCTGGGCACTAACAGGAGGAGGAGCGGCAGAGTACGGCTGGGAGGCCGGGAGAAACCATTCCCCGCGAGGGGGCAGCGCCTGGAGTGGTCGGGCGGGGCGAGGAGGAGCGGCCCTCCGCACGCAGGTACGTGCGGGACGGACGCCGAGGCGCGGCGAGGTGCCCGCAGCGGGGCGGGCGGCGCAGGGCCGGGTCAGAGCCCGCAGAGCACCGCCCCCCCGCCCACCCCCCCTGCGGCTCGCATTGGGAGCGGCCCGCGCTCTGCCCGGGGCAGCGAGCAGGACGGAGCAACGGCGTTCCAGGAGGCGGAACGCTCGGGTCCCTACACCGCTGCAACCCGGGCAGCCGCGCTGATTTCCAGCGGTTGTCAGACATCTATTTTTTTTTCCTTCCCACTTGGCCTGATAACCCATGTGTGTGGAACAGCAGTAGGCCGCTCCAAAAGTCAGTCATTTTCTGTAACGTTGTGCATCCTAGCACAAGACACACGACCTAGGGAGATAAATGCTTCAGTAACAGTAAATAAAATGGAGGGGCATTCATCACCCGGATTTTTAAGAACATTGTCTTTTACATCCAGCAACAAAGACAGCTGACAATAAATAGAAATTTGCTAAAAAGATGCAAAGCAAATAAAGTTGATTGAAAACGTAATTGTGAATTTTCAGCTTTATATTTTCTCTCCTACATCCTACAAAGTAAACCGATATGTGAACAGAAACAGGCTGTGGGCTTCTTGTAGACACTGGGCTGTACAGACAGAAGGCCTGAAAACAAACTCTGAAGAGTGCACTGGGGATATGTCACACTTCACCTCTGTAGGGTAGATGTGCAGCTTGTACAGCTGCAGCAATGCTCACTTGTCACAGATAAGTCTTTTTAATTGGGTTTAATTATAGTTTATATTTTGGCTTTAATAATACACGGAAACAAACAGGTACCATTTCTGTCCACAAGTGTGTAATCACATTGAAATCCACATAGTTCTTCGTGGTGGTTGGTGTTTGCAGGATTGGGCTTATATTTTACTGAAAGAAATCTCATGCAGAAGCAATACAACCCTTGGCTGTTTCCATGTAAGCATTCCTAGTTTTCTTAGTTTTTTTTTCCACAGCCATTATAGGATGCTTGTAGGAAAGGTTTGGTTCTCTTTCCATTTGAGGTGTTTGGGATGTTGCCATGGGCTGCAGATGAAGCATTTTGAAACCCTTGTATTGCATGTAATCTCCAGGTCAGAGCTTGCTTTGGACTTGCATCAGGTCTCGTCGTTGTTTCAGCTGTATGCTCTGACTTTGTGCCCTAAATCAGGTCTCTCTGCCCCAAAGTCAAGGCATACCTTTGTGCTAAGTTATGTAAGCAGTGTGACAGGAAGCTGCACTCAGCTGCAGATTATAACTTCTGGGCAAACCTAGAGCCTTCCAGTATAACTGTGCCCCCAGGTGGCAGCTCCAGCCACCTAGCTTCCAAGGTGTAGTTCTTCCTTCCGATTCCCAGGAAGGCTGGTGCAGACAGATGCTGCTCTCAGCTGAGAAACCACCACCTATGGCACAATCTCCCAGCAAATACTAGAGTCTGACCACACAAATGTTTTTTCTCATCTCCAGATTTTCTTCCAGAATGGGCTTTTAGTTGTTTCCCCAGAAGCAGATCACATTCCCTTTTCTAAAATGTGAACTACATTCTGTATCAGAGTAGGTAGTGCTCCCCACCTCCTAGCTGAAATATTAGAGCTAACACTTTTGTAGGCAATTCCAATGGGGTATCCAATACTCATATGCTTGATCAAGAACATTAAATAGAGCTGTAGCTTAAATATTGAGCTAATTCAAATATTGAACATTGGTGCCCTTTCGATAACACATGCCAGAATAATTATTGTAAATAGAACTAGCAGTAAGAAATACCTTGTAGGGCACAGAGAACATCTTATGAATTTCAAAAATGAAGAAATAGGCAAAACAAACAAAACAATTAGAGATTAGAATGAATGTGCTGACACAAGTTTGCATCTTTCTATGAATATTTTTCCCCTCAGTCATTCCATGTGGGGACACTGAAGACTTTTATGACCTCAGTGTTATAGCAGAAGAATGATAGAAGCAATCAGATCAATCCTAAATTTTACAGAAAAGCTACTGAGTACAATTCCTATTTCATCTTCCTAGTTACCAGTAGTGTCCTCCCTGGATCATCACGGGCACTCTAATGCTTATTATACGTAATTCATGTCAAAGCTGGAAAATGTAATTTCTTCATATTAAAAAGATGATAATTACTTCAAAGACCACCAGTATTTGAACAGTTCCAAAATACACTTTGAAATGAAAACGTTTTTCCTGTCCAATCAACCACTAGCTTACAGAGGTGCAGTAGGATGCAATAGGATGCAGACTGCTATAGTCTAGAAAACTTGGAGTTGCATTTCACCTCCGCAGATGAAACAGGTTGTATCTTCATGCAGTTAGTGCTGGGGAATGCCAGGAAGCTGGAGTTCTAAACAATTTGAGATAGCAATCATGAAGTTCAAAAGCTTTGAAACAGATCCAGCTTGTAGATGAAAGATAAGTTTAGCAATTCCAAGTGTTTCCTTCTGTTTGCACAACATTTATTTTTGAATATATTTAATTTTGCTTTTCTGAACAGGTGCATTTCCAGTTTGCTATAAAACTATGTCCAAACAATCTGCACTGTCAAAAATTAAGTTTCCTTGAGTCTGACTCAAAAAAACACTGCCAATCAAGAAAAAAGGTTCAGCTCAAGTCCTAATTCTACACCTTTTATTCCCTCAGGACTCTGACTACAGGACTTTTCAACCCATATATGTTGTTTGCTTTGAAAAACCTCCCATTTCTTCTATGACAAACCACCTGCTCAGTGTGATAGCAAAATCCATCCAACAATCTCCCAGTGGTACCAACATCTACTAACACAGTATGGCATTCCTGATGCTGCCAGCCTGTCACAGCTTCTGTCTCCTATCGCTCTGATTTTCAGACCACTGTCTAGGATCATCTCCTAAAAAATCAATTCTTAGCAAGATGGCTTTTTTTTTTTAAAAAAAAAAAAAACACACATCACCACACATGCCATAGGTCTGATTGTGTTCATTGCTGCTATAAACATTTTTTATAAGACAAATCAATGCGAATTTACAAGCTGTAGCAATACAATATTGACACAGCTTTTCATACAATAACTTTTTTATAGTCCTCACCACTCCAAACACATGGTGATGAAATTCAGTACTGATGTAAGCAGACACCATAGTACCAAAGGTGACCACAGACTGCAGTCAACTACACCAAAACTTAATGGGGCCCTGTCAGTTCAGGCATGTTTTTGAATGGCTTTGAGACAAGAGCACTTGTTTATTTTAACTACACAGAATATAATTTCAGAGTATCTTTATCTGATTAGTAATCAAAGCTTGGAGATGCTTGTTCAAGCAATCTTGTCAAGTTCCCATTTGTTGTCTGCACTGCTTAAGAGAAAAGGAGCCCTAAAACTTCCACACTTTGGAAAGACTTTTTTTTTTTTATGCTGAGCAGTCATCAAACTAGTAAAAAAAAATATGCGCACTGTATGGGTGCTCTAAGACCAAATGAGGCATATTGAAAGAAAATGCAAATTTCTATCTGCTTGTCAACTAAGTTAATATGGCCATCAAGGAGATGAAGTTTTCATAAAATCCATTAATTGTTTTTACCAAAGGCTGCCTGTGCTATTATTGCTGGCCTGCAGACCAAAGTGGGTGTGTGAGCATCTTGTCCTTCACAGCTGATAGATCATTACTTAAGCAGTATTGTCAGGATTTGCAGGGAAGAAAAATGGGCATGCTCCATAGATCTGTTGTCACAGACTATCTTACAAAACACATAACATATACTTTGAGTAGAAATTTATAACCTTGTTGTATTTCTTAGTAGTTTAAAAATCAAAGCATTTTACTTCATAAAAAATTTCTCCAGTTCGTATTCTGCAGAGCATTGCTCCAGTAGCTAGCTAGCAAATTTGTTCCTGAATTCTTAAGTTCAGATGCAAGTTTTCAGAAACTAAACTACAAGGAATCCCTTGCCACAGAAATACATTATTTTCTTACAAGAAAAAAAGGGCTGTGAAAGAGGTAATATTTACCTAAATAGAGTAAGTAGTAAAAGCATAGTCAATATTAATCTGAAAGTTGGATTTCATTACTCAGTGCTAATACATTAGAGTGCTGATGTGTTAAACCTCTACTGCCTGCTCACTGATAGAACACAAGTGAAGAGAGAAGCTGCGTGGCATGGCCCTGAGGAGCCAGCCTCACTGTACCCAAAGCAAAGCAAGCATTGTAGTAGCAATGGTAATGGGGGGACAGTTGGACTAGATGATCTTGTAGGTACCTTCCAACCTTGTGATTCTATGATTCTATGAACTAGCTAATACTTAACTTGTTCAACTGTCCAATTAGCAACTTAGTATTGCAAAGAGAAACCCTTTCATTTTAACTTCCATCAGAAACATTTTTAATTACATTTTTGATAGGCTCCTTGCCTTTCTAGAGCCATCACTTACAAAGGCACAATAAAAAGACAATGTAAAATTAAAATGATAAGTATAGTTGTCATCTGTATAGTCAGCTTTCTTATAATCTTTTGTTCCATTTAAATATTAAATCAGTAATGTTTTTCACAATAGAAAAGCAATATAGAAAGCAGGAGGGAAAGCTATTATCAGATAATGTTTTAATTCCTAATATAATAAACAAGTACAGAACATAAAACCATAAAGCACTCCAAGAAAACATGCAGAAACATGTTCCTTCCCTACAGGTAGGTACAGATGCACAGAATCTGACTGTTCCATCATGACCTAGTTTTTCCCCCTCAAGGTCTTTTGAAGACCACATGTTATTCCTCTGATGTTTACAGGGGTTGTCCCAAGCAACCAGATAAAACAGGGACATTTAAAGGGGTCTATCCTGTTCATTC